TTCATTTATACAAAAGAAAATCATATAATCAAAACTTTCCCCAAAACATTAAAAAAAAAAAATAATAATAATAATAATATTGATGACCCGACGAGGCACTGGGACAACAAAACATATACCAGCATATAATATAACCAGAGAGTATGTTTGCCCCCACAAATGGTTCATATCCCAGACGTGAAACTTTGTTTTTTTTTTATTGTCTGCTCAGAGTGGAGCCCTTTGTTGCAACACATCATCATCCATCATGCAATAAGGCAATAAGACAATATGCATGCTGCTTCCCTTTTTGTGTTTTAAATTGGTAGAATATGTATCAATCTACGTGTGTATCATACACCGTATCGCTTTAAAGCTTTGGTTAAACTTGGCATGACATTGTAGGCTTCATAAGATCTTTTTAGTTCGATGATTGAACCCACCTGCACCAAGTCACCAACAACATGTCATGTCATGTCATTGTCTTCTCTTCCATTTTGCACAAACAAGATGTGGAATTAAGAGCTAAAAATTGAAACTATATAATAAGACTTACGATGATTAGAACAGATGTAAACCCTATCGAAAATCCTTCATTTGTTTTTCGCAGATAATGATCAAGAATTGTTGATGATGTCGCCAATATACTCAACAGCAAACCACCTGAAAAAAAAAAAAAAAAGTTTCAGTTAATTAATTATGCCATGCAACAAAACACATAACATAATTTTAGCTGGAAAGGTTTGTTTGTGTTGTGGACAGAGAGAGAAGAGATACCATACCCCAGAAACGGGTTGAAGCTTGAATCTTGGTCAAATATTCAACAGTCGCCTTTCCAGGCTTTATATTTGGTATCCTTGCCCCCATTTTATTCAAGTACTCTGCAATTTCCTTTGGCATGTTCGCCTGACAATAATAACACAATTAGTCAATTAGTCAATTACAAATATATGTTTAAACAAACACGGAAACACCCTTGTATCATCATATTCATAAATAAATATTACTTACTTACAATATCAAATATGTTGAAAAGGAAAACAAAGAATGCATAGACTGTATAGTACACCCATGGTGCTGCTCCAAGAGATGATTCAGGATTTAGAATCTCTCTCACATTTCTCCAAAATCTTGAACTAAAAAAGCTGCCAACAACAGGGGTATGTATCAATATCTTCCAACTGATGGATCAAATTTTAAATTAAAATCACCACCAAAACAACCAAACATCAAACAGATCCAATCACAATCAAGATGTTTGGATATTTTCATGCTTTTGGATATTTATAATTATATAAATATGATCAAACCTGGCAACAATTGCAGGAAAGCCTAATAGGTAGCTGGTAGTGAGGACAGGTTGCATTCCAGATGGATTAATATTGAATGGAATATATTGCTCCACCTCTGTAACTGGGGAATCTTCTCTGTCCACAACATAAATATTTCACAAATTAGTAATCTTCATTCTTTACTTGTACTACTCAAATCAAAAGTATTCAAAAAACAATATGACCTTGTGGAAGATGCAAGTTTGAAGCCATAGTATTGCAGCTTGATTTTTCTGCAACCCTGAGTTACAACAACCGCCCACATAGTAACAACAACAAACACACCCGACACTCCAAATATATATTGCCACCATCCACTGCCACCTACACCACAAATTTTATTTAATATTATACCAATTTTTCATGCATTTCAATTACAAACAAGATGTTACTCACCTGAGAGCTGAGACAACATTTTATGTAATGTCTCTATGTAGCCATTCAAGATATTCACACATATCAGCAAAGATGATCCATGACCTACATCATCATAGTCATACATTCTATATCAAACACCTGAAAATTGAACCCAAAACACAGTAAATTGTTAAAAAAAAAAATCATACCAAAACCAGAGTCTGATATTTTGTCACAGATCCATGTTGTAGTCATTGCACCAGAAACCAACAAAATTGTTGTCAACATGATGTGCTTCAATCTGCAAGTAAAATATCAGACCTGTTTATTTAACAATAAGCAAATTCCAAGGTGTGTAAATCAATACTAGAAATTACCTTTGACTTGCATTTGCTGCATAAATCGAATACGAAAGTGAAAAATAAGAAATGATCAGTGCCTCTACTATTGCAAACCCAAGCGACATCCACCATCTGGAATCAAGTAAGAAAAACATGGGATTATTAACCTTTCTATAATAATAGCATAAAACTATTTTTAAGAGAATGTGAGTAAACATACATATAACCCTTTATTTTCTCATTAGCATCCAACCCTTCTTTCCTTAGCTTGACCAATGAAGGAAGAACATAGCAAAGTACCTGATCCCATAATCACTCTATAATTAGCTTAAATATATATGAAATCAAATTCAATTTCAATAAAATCAACCTGCATAACAATAGATGCTGCAATTTGGGGACTGATTCCAAGTTGGAATAGGGAAAGCTTAAGTTCTGGTGCCAGCTCACCAAGCTCCTCTGCCATTTCAGACAATGAAATTATAATAAGTAAAGGAAGAAAAGATAATGATGATTAAAATTAAAATATCATTAACATACCAACTGAACCCGAGACAAAACTAAGGTAATTCTCTGGTACTAATCTTCTATCAAAACCAGGAAGAGGAATAAAATATCCTACACGACTAATCACAAGTAATGCAGCAGTAACAAATAATCTCCTTCTTATCTCACTCTTGAAAAATGATTCAGCAGCATTATTGATGACTGAACCAACACGTGCAAAAATAAGGAATCTGTTTTCATATTTGGGTTTTGGTTGTGATTTCTCAGGATTATATGAACTAACTTCAAACTCGTGTTCAGAAGTTTGCTCGATAAGTTTGTGGCTTAGAGACTCTGCAGATGCTGAATGGATTCTCATATGGCTTCTTTTGGGCTGATTGTATATCAACATTGGTGAATTGTGGCATTCACTTGAATGAAAAGGTTTTGCTAAATTTCCAAAATGTAGTTTGTAAAGTTCTGAATTCGTGGTCTTGAGGGAAAATCTTTTTCTATCATATGGTACATGCCATAACTGGAGGCTATGTGCATGTCTGCCTGTTCATCAGAGAAAAGGAATTACATATTACACCCATAAGAATAAGATAACAATTTGATTTAAACTCAATAGTTGGATAATTTTAGAATTATTTTAATAATCAGTTTATTTTGATCGCAAAAATCAGCAAATCCTAATCATATTCAGTTTTCCCAATCACTAGAAAGCTGAGAACTTATGCGTTACTTTATAAATCCCCATGAGTAATCTTCAACATTTTTTAATGATGAAAATGATCGGTCAATTATCCTAAGTTCTTACGATTCTAAAAATTTGATCTTCGTCATATAATCACAGCCTCTACTCAGGATAAGTCTTAATATACCACTTACCCAACACAATTCATATAAATTCAAGAACATGATTATAAGACAAAATTCGATTAAGAAATAGGAATTATCAAAATTACCTGATACGCATAATCCACGTTGCAGAGAAAAGTAATTAGCGGATAGTGAATTAACGTCGCTAAAACATGGGTTGATGCTCTGCATTTGCAACTTCTTTGAAATGTAAACCCTAGTCCTTATAAACAGTCGAGTAATAGCTATATCTCGTTAATTAACTATTGACGGCTTAGACCAGCGGCGATAAAGATTACGGCATCCGGCTGGGGTCACAAGGAAGTGGACGGACTGTGGACGTTGGTCGTACCTGGGGCTTGGGGTTTTGCTTCGACAGTATTGGGGTTTTAAGATGATTGTGATATTTATATTGTTGGTCCAGTTCTTATATTTTTCATAGTTTTGCCACATAACGTTTATCAAAGTTCAATAGAATCACCACTCCGGTCCCAATACAAAATAACTAACATATAAGGTCTAAGTCATAATGATTTGGTTTGTTTTTTTTTTTAACAGTAAAACGTTGGCCAATTAAGTCGGTTTAGTTTATAATGTTCCAAACCAAATCATGGATTTTACTGGACTAGTTTGGCTTGGTAGAAAAAAAAAAAAAAAAAAAAAAAAAATATATATATATATATATATATATATATATATATATATATATATATATATAGGGTTAGGTTATTTTGTTTCTAGTAACTATTGTGTGCCAGAATGCACAGATCTGGACCATCAGATGGAATATAATCAAAGGTCATGATCTGAGGGTCTATGATAGTAGAATAGGATAGCATGTACCATATAATCACACAAATTTGAGCATAAGGGCATTTTAGTCAATTAACCTATATTAAAAAAGGAAATTTTCGGATTTTTAGGGATAATTAATTCCTTTATTTTTAAAAATCTGAATATTTAAAATTAATTTAAAATTATAAATCCGATTTTATTCTGTCAGAATGATAGAATTTTAATCATAAACCAGTAAATATATTTTTCGATTTTATTCCGTCAGAATGACTGAATGTAAACCATAAACTAGTAAATATATTCTGAAAGAATATACAAAATCGATTCTTGAACTAATAATATACCAAATAATTACATTGTATGATTGTGATTCATTGAATAATAACAAAACATTCTGAAAGAATAACAAGTATAATTCTTAAAAAATAACAACATTCTTAAACAATGAGTGTGATCATTCTTTAATTCATTCTTCAAGCATTTCCATCAGGTTTTCAAGCCATTCTTCAAGCCTTTCCCTGCCTTTTTTGGTTGTCTAGGTCTGATCAATTTGCAGGATTATATGTGAAGAATATTCCCCTTCTTCATTCTGAAAATTCTTCATTCCGAAAGAATAGTAGCCTTCTTCAAACTAAAGCCCTTTTTATTCTAAAAGAATATTGCCCTCATTCTGAAAGAATTTTCAGGTTAACATTCATTTGCCCTCATTCTGAAAGAATTTTCAGGTTAACATTCTAAAAGAATATTGCCCTCATGCTGTCATATCAGCCAAACTAATGATGATATTCACATGCAAACAAACAATAAATCATCACAAATCAAGGAATGTGAATGGAAGTATGGAATGGAGTCAGTCATTACCTTGAGAAGGTGCAGTAACATAATAAGCAAGACCACCAACTGGAACAGATTGCTCAGAGTATTCAGATTCCTTCCATTTTCCCAACATATTAACCAAGAAATTCCCACTGTACTTTCTGTGCAACAACTGAAAAGGAACAACAACAACAATATAAGTAATTATTCAATTCAACAATACAAGCAACATTGAAAAGAACTGATATCAGAAAAAAAAAATTGATTCATTTGGATATAAATCATAACACTTTCATCCATAAGAAAAAAAAATAAACAGGTGTATATAACATACCTGTAACCATCAATGACCAGGATAAAATGATGAGGGCGAATAAGACCTTCAATATTACATAAAATATGATTAATTTGTCTACACATTGTTCATCCATGGAAGCTATTTCAGACACCCTATTCATGTTATCGCTACTTTGGAGTAGAATCAATCAAAAGGGAAGATCCTAACAAGTTGAGTCGATGGTGGTATAGAGCTCGACCCCTAAATTTAAAACCTTAGGAAACCTAAAACAAAAGAAAATGTTATAACGGCGTATTGTATCGATTGAGGAGCAATTGATTTGAGATTATGATCGATTTTGCTACAAACCAAAAAACAAACAGAAACTATTACCTGGACCATAACAGGGGTAGTTACCGGTTATTGGGTTGTACACGAAAATTTCTTAAGCCGCCAACATTGCTTAAAATACATGCTTACCTGGTGTTGATGGGAATATACCAAACTTCAATCGGTAGTTTACGGTGGCAAATTCGAAGTTTCGACCTGTGATTGTCTTTGAGAAGTTGAAGAAGTTGAAGAAGAGACTGGAGTTGATGGGAATATACCAAACTTCGATCAGAAGCCTTTGAGAAGTTGAAGAAGAGACTGTGTGAAGCACCGATTCTTTCGTTACCTGAAGGAGTTGAGGACTTCGCAGTCTATAGTGATGCCTCTGGAGTTGGGTTAGGATGTGTTCTGACCCAAAGGGATAAAGTGATCGCGTATGCCTCGAGACAGTTGAAAGAGCATGAAAAGAACTACCCCACTCATGATCTGGAGTTGGCAGCGGTAGTATTCGCCTTAAATATATGGAGGCATTATCTTTATGGTAGTAAGTGTAAACTTTTCATTGATCATAAGAGTCTTCAATATCTCTTTAATCATAAGGAATTGAACATGAGACAGCGGCGCTGGCTGGAACTACTCAAGGACTACGACTGTGAGATACTTTACCACCCTGGTAAAGCAAATGTTGTTGCTGATGCTGTCAGTCGGAAGGTAAATCTTGAAAAGAGAAGGCCAAGAGCGTTGAAGATTGAAGTTGTCTCTACAATTGTGGAAAGTATAAAGAAAGCTCAGGAGGAAGCTTTAGAAAAGAATGACCGGAAGGAGGAACATTTGGGTAAAACGTTGGTGTTTGATACAAACGGTCAAGGATTGAAGGTATTCAAAGATAGGATTTGGGTACCTAATACGGGAGGAGTAAGAGGTCTTCTGATGGAAGAAGCTCACAAAACCATGTACTCGATTCATCCCGGCAGTACGAAAATGTATAGGGACCTAAAACCCTATTACTGGTGGCCGACGATGAAGCTCGATGTTGCTAAGTATGTGGCTGAGTGTGTAACTTGTGCTAGGGTTAAGGCACAACATCAGAAACCGTATGGGAGTTTAGAACCTTTACCTGTACCCATGGGTAAATGGGAAGATATCACTATGGATTTTGTGACTAAACTGCCCAGAACCAGGAACGGTCACGACATGATTTGGGTGGTCGTTGATCGCTTCACTAAGAGTGCGCATTTCATAGCCGCTAACGAGAAATGGTCTATGGATAAACTTGCGAATTCTTATGTAAAGGAAATTGTGAGGCTACACGGTGTTCCGTTAACGATTGTATCTGATCGTGACAGTCGTTTTACCTCAAGGTTTTGGAGAAGTCTACAAGAGGAATTGGGTACTAAGTTGTGTTTGAGTACAGCTTACCATCCGCAAACCGATGGTCAAAGCGAACGAACGATTCAAACATTGGAGGATATGCTGAGAGCATGTACCCTAGAATTCCAAGGTAATTGGGACGAACACTTACCTTTAGTAGAATTTTCCTATAATAATAGTTTCCACTCGAGCATCAAAATGGCACCTTTTCACGCTTTGTATGGAGAAAAGTGTCGAACGCCATCATGCTGTCTGGAAGCTGGGGAAAAGCAGTTTATGGGACCTGAGATAGTCCATCAAACTGCTGAAAAGTTGAAAGTGATAAGGGAAAGGATGTTAGCTGCTCAAGATCGACAAAAGAGTTATGCTGACAAGAAAAGACAACCGATATCCTTCGATGTTGGAGATTAAGTTTTACTTAAAGTCTCGCCGTGGAAGGGACTTATAAGATTTGGTAAGAGGGGAAAGTTGAGTCCAAGGTTTATTGGACCATTTAAAGTTCTTCAGAGGATCGGGAATCAAGCTTACAAGCTAGAATTACCGGAAGAACTGGAGGGTATTCATAACACATTTCATGTGTGTTATTTGAGAAAGTTCACGGGAGATGTGCCTGACATAATTCTGATTTCTGAGTTAAGGTTGGATGAAAACAAGAGGTTGATCGAAGAACCTGAGGCAATCGTTGACCGTAAGACTAAGAAATTGCGACGCAAGATGGTCGATTTAGTGCTTATGCGTTGGAAACATACGAATGGGCCAAATCTCACCTGGGAAACGGAGAGTGACATGAGGAGTCGCTACCCGCATTTGTTTGCTGATGTGTGATTCCGGGGACGGAATCATCCTAAGGGGGAGAGAATTGTAATGCCCGTGTTTCTAGGCTAGGCATTAATATTGACATTATAGTCTAGGTTAACCTTTGTAACTCATTTTGAAGAAATGAAAAGGAATTATGTGAATTTTATGTGTTTTATGCTTAATTTTTAGGGCTTGATTAATTAAGAATAAAAATGAGCGTCAAAAATTAAATTTTAGATAAAGCCGATATTTATTAAGAAACTTGTAGTGGGCGTGACAAGGATTACGGATATATAAAGAATGCCGAAATCCGAGTTATAACGAAGAAGTTATGACCTGTCAAAGTTTCGCGACGAACCGGCACGGGGCCGAATGTCGTAAAAAGTGAGTTTTCGATAAACTACTTTTTGGCCTTAGTGATCTAAACGAAACTTGTAGTGTTCGTTAAACCGAGAAGTTCGATAAAAAGAACGCCAAAATCTGACTTCGTATGAGGAAGTTATGATTTTTCGAAGTTTCGGCTTAGCAGTAGACAGCTAAAAACTCGAATTTTAGATCGAGCGATTTTTAGCCGACACAACCTAAACGAGAATCGAAGGTCTCGTTATTAAGAGCACAACGGTAAAAAGTCTGATGAAAACGGACGTCGGATGAAGAAGTTATGAATTTTTAACGGATTTCCTGTCCCGGTCTGTTAAAAATAATAATATAAAATCTAAAGTCAAAATTAGCCGACGAAGTCTAAACGGAAGTTGTAGAGCGTAATTTTAGCTACGCGTGCATATAAAGAACGTCAAAAACGGAGCTCGTATGCAAAAGTTATGGATTTTAGAAGTTTTGGCGTGAAAACCGAGAAAATTCGCATAGTCACGATATGCCACGTCACCCTCGCTTAGAAGGTGACACGTGTCCGAAATCAGTGACTCATGCGAAGCCACGTGGTGAAGTATGCTGAGTCACCCTCGCATGAACAGTGCCACGTGTCGAATTCTGATTTGACCGAAGGGAGGCCCAATCCGAACCTCGCAAACCAGAGTCCGAGCCTCGCACATGGTCACGATACCGAGGTCCAATCAGCAAGTGCCACCGAGGCCCTCGCACATGCTGATCACCTGCGCACCGGAACCGACTTCGGACCTTCGCTTCGGACCAATCAGCAGCTGCCAGAGAGACTTCGCACATGCTGCCCTCGTGCGAGCCTCCTCTGCGAGCCGTCGGATCTGAGGTGCGTGGCCTCTTCTCATCCATTAGAACAAGACTTCGGACCCTATAAATAGAAGGGTACCTGCGAAGCCTCTCGGGTACTTTTGGAAAATTGCCATTTTCACCCCCTTTCTTCATATTTTCTTCATCCTAGAATCCCCCGAAGCCCCGGTATCGATTATAAGCCCCGGAATACGCCACGAGGAGCCCGTGAAGCCCGAAAAATTTATCTTTTCGGTTTCGAAGCCCGACTTTTGCAGAGCCCGGTTTCTGAATAAAACTCCCGGTTTTATTAGAAACGAACGTTTTAGGAAACGAATTGCTGCCCGATTATCATCAAATCAAGTGAGTGTATAGTCACTCTCATTTTACACATAGATATGAAGTATTTAGCTTATAATACGTGCTATGTGTAAATATATTAATTGTTTATTTGAGGTGACTGTTGAGTCGATGTTTTATACACGTTTTAAACTGTATAAGTATTTTTATCTACAAATATGTTGGGTAGAACATGGGTAGATAGTGATGTGTGATAAATAAAAGTGATGAGAGGCCTCGTTGTGATTTGTGATTCAGTCATCTAGCGGAGTTTGGATGACGACCACGGACTTTCTAGACAGTCCAGTGGGAAACATTAGCAGGTTCGCAACCTGTAGGTGTTAATGAACTTGGGTGTTCATTAGCTGTACTCCATCCCCCTCATGGTTGCCTTTAGGACATGTATGGCTGAGGAAACCCCTTAGCAGTAGTGTCCATCCCGATGATATTCTTTAGTCTAGTCCCTTGTGAAAAGTGTTTAGGGACGTAAAGTGAGGATAACGGGAACGGGTAATCAGGGTTATTATTGATTGGTGAACTTAATAAGTTTAATATTATTGTGGGTTGAAAACCCTATATGCTCACCAGGCTCCCAAGCCTGGCCCACTCAGCTTTTTATGTTTACAGGTAGTGGACCCCGAGCATAGTCGGAGGACAAAAAGAGATTTTGATTATAAGCCAGTAGTTGTAAATAACTGTTGTAAGGCTTATAATGCTTTGTTTATGCTTTTGATCTGTATCGGAACATGACATCCCGAGGTTTTGATATATATATATATATATATATATATATATATATATATATATATATATACCTTCTTAATGAAGGGTTTTGATAAACTTTTATCATATGTTGTTTGGGGACCAATTCCGCAACATCTTTTGAAAAGATTTCTTTGATTTCATTTTAAAAAGCATAAATTAAATCGGTCTTTTCTGGCCGAGAAATTAGGGGATGTCACAGTTGGTATCAGAGCATTAGTTTAAGCGAACTAAGAAATTATAGGATTTCTAGGCTTAAACTTAGAATGCTAAGTGTTGATTGTGAGATGAGTGTCTACCATATTTAGACACGAGCACTAGTTTATTTTAGGAAATATGCCTAAAATGCCCTTATGTG